AAACTATCTGAGACCTATGCTCCATATTATTCTATCACATACACCTGTTCAAAAAGATTATACTATCATTGGGATTGACGGAAAAGAAAAAAAAAATAGATCATTTGATACAATTTGGACTTATTCGGTTTGAAAGTTCGGATCCTGATCAAGTTGGTGGTTATCTATTGTGTCCATACATTTGGTTATGGATTATGGCTTATGCAAACAATTGGAATAAAAATGATCCATTATTACGAAATTGGGATTTTGCTTACTATAAAGAGGTAATTAGCATAAGTGGAGAATCTAGTATTCCGCCTGGCTGTCAATACTGGCAACATTTTGAATATTTTGTTGCACAATTTCGCTCTCTAAAATCACATGTCTATAAGGATGGACAACAAGTTGATCTTTGTACTATTCATAATGGCGCAAGGTATAACTTTGTCAAAAATTCCATGATATACAATCGAAATCTTACATTAATGCATTCAGTTAGAAGAGTTAGCACCAAGTCTGAAGATTATAATCAAGATACAAAAATTTTATGTCAGGCTGAAGAAGTGAACATTGCAGAAGCGAAACATATTGTGATCAATGCACCTAGTGCTAAATATTCTGATAGCTTTTGTCCAATAAAAATGGTACATACTGGTCAACTACAAATGGAAACACATCAATGCAAATTGGTAAAAGATAGTATTTCTCAACAAAAATTTGACGATGAATATAAAAAAGCAACAAGTCAAGGGGATATCTTTATTTTATATACATCAACATCCTGCAAGGGACTTGAGCTTCGAAACCCAATGTCTGCTATTATTAGCAAAGAAAATTGGAAAGAATATTTTGGACCTTTTGCTGGGAGGTGCTATAATTATGCCATGGGACCACCAGATATTAATAAAGCGACCTATACTCAACTAACTGGGATTGAGAAAATTGGAAAAGAGCGTGCTATTACTATTATGAAAGAACGAAAAAGACTCGAATTCTCTAATAAGGAAGATTGTAGCAGGAGAACCAAAATTCCGCGTCAAGATCTTGATCCCTTTTTTCAGTAATACTTTATATTGGAAAATTTCTTTTATTTTCTAGAATATCGCATTTTTTTATAAAGTTTTTTTATTTTGTAAAATGTGAAAATAAAAGACGTTAATATGCTTCTATACTTGCGAAGTAAATTAACCAATTCCATAGTTCAACCATAGTTTATATTTTATTATTTGATATTTGGAAAAATACCATGGATTATCAGAGTCAGTGAAA